AATCAATCAATCAATCAATCAATCAAAAGCCTTTATTTGTCACATACACTTCCATGTAGTCAAATACACTGTCATGTAGTGAAATTAGGCCCCCCCCGACCATACATAAACATCACATTTCAGGTGAAGACAGGTCAATGGAAGGTAGCATTAAGAAAAAGGAAGTAAGATACATTTTATCTCACATTGGCCTTGAATTAGGGCAGTGTGAGATCCGGGTAAAAAAAAAAAGCCCCAGCAGTCAGGCACATAAACACATAGACATAGATATAACATCGCCACAGGGGATGTGGATCCGGTCTTGCAGCTGAAAATCTCTGATCGCAGACCCACCTACCCCCTCCAGTGGGTGAAAGCACACAGAGGTGTGGGATGAGGAACTAGGTAGTGATTGTCTATCTGTAGCTATGTGTGTGTGTGTGTAAGCCTGTAGAGTCCAACAGGTGTCCTTGACAAGGAGCAGGAATTTCAGAGCGTCCCCTTTTCTTGCTATCCAGGAGAAGTTGTTTGTCTCCAGCCAAGGCTGTCTGGCTGGAAAAACACAGGGAAGCGGAGAAGAAAAGTATTTCAAATTTGGGTCAATGTCTGCCAGTTTCACAGATATTTATTGTTCATCACTGGTCTTCAGGTCTGGTCAAATTTAGTTGCAAAGTCGCTAGTTACACCTCGATGTTTTCCATTTTGCGGTCTAAGACTACAATCTGGTTTGTAGCAACCGTGATCACCAACGTTTCAATCAAGCCGGCCAGCTTTGTGGGGTTTAGAGCCACACTGACCGCTTTTATCAATCGTCGATACCTCAGAGCCTTGCATAAGCCCATAAGCAGAAACCCTGTTCAAAGAAAAGGTAGATATCTTCAATATTCTAAAAGGACAGAGGACTTCTTCCACCCGTCCATCACATATCCAGCTGGAAATGTCCCAGCAGGACAAGTGGGCTCTTCCGAAGATGGTGTCAATTGCATTCAGAGACCAGTTGATCAAATCCATATTTTTTTTTATTTGTTTGGATAGCAGGGCATGGAGAGCCTCAGAGATTGAATAAGACAAGACAATAGGAGCCAGCCAGGAAAGATATGGGACGTAGAGAAAAAAAGTGCGACCGCCTTTGCCGAGAGCCAAAGAAGAACATCTCCTCTGTTCATGGTACTTTGTACCATGGCTGCTTGCTTCAACACTTCCATGCTAAGCAGTAATGGGTGTTTCATTTCTGTCGTGCTGCATGCAGTAAGCCAATCACAATAGACTGGGTCATCAGACCAAACACTGCATATTTTATAATGCATAATAGAGGTACTTTAAACCTTTTGTTAGCACTAGTTACAGTTTTTTTTTACTTTAAATGTAGAATGTCTAGTATTTCCCTTCTCAATAAAAAGAGTGCACCATTCAAACACTTCGCTGTAGGACGGTTAGGATGTGGGCGATAGCCTTGATTGTTATCAGCCTGGGCGAAATGCATTTGAAACCATTTTGTTTTAAATCTAGTTTCATTGTTGGTAAACGAACTCGGAGTGTTTTTTTTTTTTTCCTTTTTTTCTCATACCTCAGATGTTACAGCAAGCAGGCATAAGGCCAAATGAGAGGAAATGACTGGCATCATACCAGACAGGAACTTCAGCAAGAGCAAGAAAATGTTGCTCTTCTGTCTAGCATGTTTGAGATTACCATAATTTGGTGATCAGCATTTAATGTGTAGTGACAACTGTCAACTGAAAGTGTTAAATGTGTTTGATTATTGAGATGTGAAAAAAAATGTATATTTCCAATGAAGCAGAGTTTTGCACTCATGGCAGATCAATACATTGCTTTTTTGTTAAGCATCATGCCATTCCTTTTTTTTAATTTCCTGAATTGTTTTTTTGTGAACTTCACTTTGAAATCGACCTGGCACTTGACAGGGAAATCTTAAGTAGCAATTTTTAGAATTTGACTAATGCTGTTTCAGGACTAAAATTTTCAACAGTCACACAATAGATAGGGGTGCTCTGCCCATATGGTTGCAACCAAACAGATCACCAGCACTTACAGCAAGACTTTTGTGACTCACACTTTATTGTCAATCAGTGGCGGCCAAAGATACCAAGTTGTTTAAGGATGGGGATGGTCGTGGCAAGATCACACTGTGGTTTAGTGGCTGCTTAGTGTGGAAATGAAGCAGCTGTAGTTCTTCCGTGTTACGGATCGCAAACATAATATCTGCAGAATGAAAGCAAAATCAACCATTGGCACCACCAGTTTCTGGGAAACGTTTCAGAAGTTTCAGTTTGGAAGTTTTTTTGCATCCTGGAAATACCTGTGTCCCCCTGACAATCATTATAGTAAAACCAACTCAGTAAGCCCCTTTAAAGAATATCCAGTTTTCATGCATACTAACATTTTAGAAATTGAAATAAAGTACTAAACTGACAATTACACAACTAAATTATTTCATTAAATAGAAAAAAATAACTGCACTGGCAAACTTTGATTTTTTTTTAAAGATTACTAGTGAGCAATTCCAGTGTTATGGATGTGACATTTGCAGTGAAAATTCAATACATAAATTCACATAAAAATTATATGTTAACATTATATTGAAAAATCTATTTATATTTTCCAGAACCACTAACCACAGAGTTATGGAATCAGAAAAATATCAATTTGTAAACATGTTCTATATTTTAAATTAGGGAATTAAACACGCTTTATGGATATGACCAAAAAGAGTTTACAGTATGCAAAATACTTTGTAGACATTCTGTGAATTAAACTGCACAACCCAAAAGAAACAATGCTAATCAAAAGGATAAGAGTTGCGTACTATAGAACAAGCGTTATTGATTTTATTTCAGAGTTTTGCATTTACGAGGAAAAAGTTCTGATATATATGTGAAGGATGTGAAATTGGGTGATGCGGTGGCGCAGTTGGTAGTCCAAAAGTCCAAAGACTAGAGGTATAGGTGAATTGGGTAGGCTAAATTGTCTGTAGGGATTTGTGTGTGAATGAGTGTGTATCGACGTTTCCCAGTGATGCGTTGCGGCTGGAAGGGCATTTGCTGGGTAAAACATATGCTGGATAAGTTGGCGGTTCATTCCACTGTGGTGACCCCGGATTAATAAAGTGGCTAAGCCGACAGGAAATGAATGAATAGAAGTGAAATTGGTGCTTGTGTGACTTTGGTAAATCAAATATAATTGGGTGAAAACATTGATAGAGACATTTTTGAGTATGTTTGAGTACTGTAAAATAAAAGCCTACACAAAAAGCTTACTTTAGAAAGGGTTTTACTATTTTGTTAAAAATCTTTTTTTTTTTCATGTTGACATTTACATGGAATTGATTTATTATTATTTTCCATGCCAGATTTGAACAATATTAATTTAGCAAACATTAGCATAGTTTTTGAAACTGATATATATATATATATATATATATATATATATATATATATATATATATATATATATATATATATAAATATTGGTATATGTCATGCAGATCAGTCCAGAGACTGTTGTGTACACAGTGATATTTATTTAAAATCCACTTTAATATGTGATAGGACTAGCAAATGAGTAGCAGCTTGGACTTGGAAACAAGATATTCCGTACGTCACAACTTAACAAGCGGATTAATGTTGTTTTTTAAATAAAAAAAACTTATGCCTATACTTTTTTTTTTTTTTTTTACATTTTGCAATGTGTACCACATGATTGCATATAAATGCTGCCTTTGCAAATTTATAGAAGTAGAAATTAACCTAAAATTGCTTTTATCAGAATTTTAAAAGCTGCCAGATGCAAAAGTTGTTAATAAATAATAAGTAGCACTTTCTGCTCTGTAATTTCATAATTGCTAAATGAGTATCGCAATCATTACATAATTGTTTTCTAATCACCAAATCTCACTTGTATTTGTTCTAGTTTAGAAGATGTAATGTTTTGGTGCCTTAAATGACAATACCAGTTTCCAAAACAAAACCCTACAAGGTTTCATACACAGCCAATGATAGTAGGGTGTTGGTAAATGAGCAAATGTATCACCCTGTACTCTTATTATTGTGCAGACACTCCAGCAGTCAGTTAACCACCCCGAGCCACGCATAGCGTGTTCTTTCACAACTGAAACTAACATCTTGTTCCCATACAGTTTTGCTTACTCAGTAGCTCATGCAGATGTACAGTTCCACGACTCGTGTTAGCGTTTACATAGTTAGTCTCATTAGGTGAGACACGAATCGCTGCAATTACAGTAAAGGGTTGACTGCTAAGCTGCTGGTAACTGCTCTATTTAGGTCAGTTTTGAGGTTAGCACAGTCATGTTTAACCCTTACCCGCTCCTTTTTGACACACCCTGTCAGCGATAGTGTTAAATGATAAGCCTGCTGTTTTAATGACATGTCATTTTAGAGTTTTAGTCTGCATATTGTCAAGGAGGTAAACGCAAGAGCAGTATGAAGCCGTTTCAACATGAGGAAGACGGCTAAACCACATGAACCAAAAAAGGAAATTCTGTTGCATTTCACAATAATTTATTGACAACACTAACAACAACAACTTAAATATAAGCATAACAATACACAAACAGCGAACTTTTAAGCTCATGAAACACACAAAATAAATAAAGCTCACAAAAAGACTTAAATATTAATATTAACATTCATGCAAAGTCAAGCACATTATAATCTCATAAGTTATTTTAGTACTTTATAATAAGTATGTTTTTCAAGTTGACAAAATACAACTAAATTTCAAAACATGCCTGGTCAATGTGACTTAATAATACTTTTAGTTAAATCTAAAACATTGACTTTTTCCAGAACTCCAGTCACTGAAGATGAAGAGGCTGGCATTGCAGTGCATCTAACAGTAGTGTGATGGATGGACGGGGTGGGTGATGTGCAAGAGATTTGTGGATGAAGTCCATTTGTGCTTTGTCTTACTGCATCCATGCAATACTGTTTTCAGAATGTTCAGACAGAGTGATACTGGCCGCTGTCCAACCCAGCAACATCCTATTAGTGCTTAACCCTCTTTGAGGCTAGATACTGCTCGATGTACCTAAAGAGCAAATCAAGCTCCCCCATAGCTTTATAGACCCCCTTTTCCTTCATCTAACAGAAAAGAAAAAAAAAGATGTCAATTTTTGCAATCGCTTTCAAATGAAATTTGATGATCATCATGTTCATGTTGATGTATCAGACTTACCTTTTCATATGAATTCTTTAAGCTGTTGACTTCAAAGGGATTTTGGCAAGAAAAGTACCTCTTCTGTAACAAACATAGATAGACGTTTGTGTTATTTCATGTTGCTTGCAATGTAAAAGACACCTACTTTGCCTCACCAAACAATTTCGCAACACTCACTAGGCATTTTGGTCATTTCCAACAGCTCTTGCCAAGAAAAAAGCCACATAGACTTTCTACATATGTTCTCTATATTACGACATTCTGAAGATGCCTAAACTTCGCTTTTTGTAAAATAACTACATTTTAGCATCATCTTTTTCATGAGCTATGGACTATCTTGAGCAGAATTCCCTGCTTGAAAGTATTAAGCTTCTCTTGTTGGTCTACTGGCCTAGTTAGGTGGTCAGTCACTTGGTTTTAGGGGTTGTGGCTGGTTTACGTTTGTCAACAGATTTACTCTAATGCAATCACATCAAAGAGATTTAATCAATTACATATTCAATCCAAAACACTTACGCATTTCACCATATCCCGCTTGAGTTCCTGAAATATATTTCCAATGGAGTCGATTGGGGTTGTGGAGTGCTTTAAAGGATTCTTCTGAAGAGCTGTTGGCAGAATGGTCTCCAAGTAGAAATGCAGGATCTCGTTCATGACGTGACATCCATAGGGACTCTGTTGATAATACACACAAGAGATTTACCTTTTTATCTGCTGTTTCAGACACCCACAGTTGTCACACTTCGACACTGCCGTAGCAATGTGCAGATGCAAGATGCTACGCAAGATTTTAGACTCGCTTAAAACCTACCCAGTTTCACTATGATTAGTTCTGCTATTGCTAATTTTGAGTGCGAATAACTGCTGGTGTTGTGCTGTAGGAGTAAATCAGTGGCACTTACGTTTATGTTATGTTTTATGTCCTCATTTAATAATGGTTCCAAGTCATCGTTGGACTCCTGATGCAATGTAAACAACAAAAAAATCTATTAGAAAGAACCTCAGATTTCAATACAACACACTCACATAAACACACAAAAAGCAGAAATGGGAGTTGCAAAACTGGCATTTCATTCAGCTGGAGATCAGTCGAAGTGTACTTACATAAAACTTCTGAATTTCTTTGTATGCAGAACGGAGCTCCCTCAGTCTTAAAGGAAAGCCCTCCACAAATGAGCAACAGTCAGTTTTGCATTCGACTCTCCTGCTCTGAGCACAGTCGCAAAGAAGAAGCGTGAGCAGAGCAGAAAGGATGACTCCAGAGAAAATCATATTTAATTTCTTTTTTTTTCTTAATCCTTTCTTGATTTTCAGCCAACAAGTGAGAAGATGTACAGATGAGCTCCTTGGGGTGCCTTATTTTATACCCCATTTTGCTAAATTTCCTGTGCTGTCGGAGGAGGGGTTGGTAGTCATTTACTGGCAGTCATCTCTCTTATTCTGTGTCATCATAAATAATTTTTTTTTTTTTTTTTGACAACTGATGTATTTTCTTGGATGGATGATTTAATGACAAATGAATTAAATGTATGTTGTTAAATGTAAAATGTTTATTTTCTAGAAACATCTTGTATTATTACAAGTTTCGTAATTGCTATTTCCACAAATTCCCAATGTCTGCGTTTCTCGGCTATTCTAATTTTAAGTCCATTAATTCTCCTTTCCTTCTATTTGTCTATTTATCTGTTGTTCTAACATACTGTCTTATTATCTAATGTTTTATCTATTCTGTTTGTCTGCTTTTCTAACATTTTGTCCATCATTTCATCTATCTATCATTATAACATTCAATATATTGTCTTTATTTATTTTTCTAAAACCCTCTGTACCAAAATAGGTGATAATTTTTTACTTTTCTCAATTTAAGAATATTATAGTAAACATTTAAAAATGATTTAAAAGTATACATTTTTTTTGATCACACATATAATGTATCATTTATCTGTTTATGCTTCATCTGACTTTTTAAATATTTTATTATGTTAAAAATAATAAAAACATTTAATTTCTTATTTAATTCTGTCAACCGAAACAGGTCAAATATAACTTTATGTTTGTAAATGAATTCTAGAAAGTGTCAAAATAATTTATAAAAATATTTAATTGACTTTAATCAACCTTAGATACTTGGAACTTAATCCGTTTCCCCCTCGCCGTTACAGGAATTGTCTGTAAGAAGCTAGCTGAGACATTTCATATCTAACTTTTTTTTTTTTTTTTTTTACGTGATGTGGAAGCCCTGTTTGCACAGGTGATGCATAAACTCAAGCATCCAGAGATGACTGTTAGGGGTCCAGTGTGGTGGCTGTTTAACAGCAATCAAATGGTGTTTTAAACCACAGGGATCTCTCACAAATACCACCTGTCCCCATTGATTCTAAATAAATACATGTTAACCTTACTCCTGCACTGAGTTTACGTAAAAACATTTCAGAACTATTGTGAAAACAGGCACGTTTCTTGGGTAAAGTTGTTTCTGTACACATATAATATAAATAATATATAATTATTTATAAAATTCAAATGTATTTATAAAATTAAATAATAGAAATGGTCTCACCTGTATTTTAAATTCCTCTTAAAATCCATTACACTGTGTATACAGTACTTGTTCTGATTAATGCTGCCAACAAAATGAAAATAATTTTTACTTGGATAGTCTCAATTTAAACTTTGATAGTCTCTATTTATCCTGATACACGTTTTGCTCATTAAATGAAGCCAATGAATCCTTGGATCATAGTGGTGCAGAATGGTCAGGGGACACGTTTTCTGACATATAATGCTCAGCGTATATGAGCACACCCCCTTTTGAATGTGCATATTTTTTTATCCGTCTCTCTGTCAACATAGCAAATAATGTTTTGGTGTTTGTACACAAAACAGTTTTATTAAACAGTTCTATTCATTAAAATAAGAGTTTGGCCATCTAACATCTTTAGAAATAAAAAGGAAATACATTTCAATTCAAATAAAGAAATATATATATATATATATATATATATAAATACACCTAATTGTTAAATATTTTAGTTCCTCTTGATTTTCCCCCTCCCTTAAAAAAAAAAAAATGTATTTAATATTTTCCCCTAACATATAAAGTTATATAAAAATATGAAGTTATATAGTAACATATAAGTGTACTCATGCTTGAACCATTAGCGTTAGTTATTTTGTTAGATTAGTTCCAGATTTGGCTTCAGTACTGACTAATATATATGGACAAATATATGTTTAAAGCATAATATCGAAAATATTACTTTAAAATATAAATTTGTGAAGGGTGTACTAATTTATGCTGAGAACTGTATATTTATATTTCTTACTTAAATTCAAACAACAACTTTTTTTTTTATTTTTGGCCAAGCAGTGTGATGAACACACTTTTACAACTGCACCACAGACTGGCCACATTAAGCTAATGACGCAAGCAGCCACAATGAAATTTTGAGCTTGATGTGTCAAAGACTGTGTTGCAAAATCAGCGAAACTACATTTAGAAACGGATTTCCCAATGATTCTCATTAATCAATACCTTGACTATTATCCAGATATTAACATATATTTGGTATAACCCAATTCTATAAAATGTCCAGGCCAACTGGCAATCTAATTTGAAAGTAGTTTGTTTAACATTCTGCCAAACAGCTCAGACAGTGGACCAAATAATATGTGAATGTTTTCAGCCATTGTTTTCCTTACTGTAATTGTAGTCATCTTTTAATAATTATAATCTGTTTGTCTATAGTTAAAGCCAGCTTTAACAATTAAAGCAAGAGTCATAGACTCAATTCCTGGAGGGCCGCAGCTCTGCACAGTTTAGCTCCAACCACCTCCAACTTAAAAGTCACTAGTAGTCTTGAACACCTTGATTAGTTGGATCAGCTGTGTTTGATTGGGTTGAGAGCAAAACTGCAGAGCTGAGGCCCTCCGGGAATCCAGTTTCAGACCAATGAACTACAGTCTATGAAACCTACTGAAGGATACAGCTTGTGTGATAAATACAGATATTAGGCAAGATTTGCAGTAATTATAATGATGGAAATATCTCTTTCATCAGAATTCCTTTGTTAAATTTACCTCAGAGCTGGTTATTTTAAGAAACACGTGAGCACTGTGGAATTTCATTAGCTGTCATTAACTGAGTAACGAAAGAATGAGTGAGCTAACCTGTTCCATGACTTAACTATAATAGCATGTATGCAAAACATTCTCTACCTCATACTATGCATGAGTATGAATCAATGGTAAGCTCAACCCATGATGCAAGAAAGAAAAAAGAAAAAAAGGTGGTTTTCTTTCTGGGGTGTTTGAGGTCTGTCAAGTTTTACAGATAGGTAAAGATTACTGAAAGTTAGTTGAGCGTAACGGAGGACATTTCGTCCGTGGAGAACATGAAACCAAAAGCAATTTGACCATTGCTTCAAATCAGCTGTGTTTTGTGGTTTTGAGTAGGCCATATGTAATACATTCTTGTACAAGTATGTTTTGAGTGTCCCAAAAGCTCTGGGACAGGATATTAGATATTTATATGATTATTTGTTTGTAATTGGGTTCTATTTGACTTTTTAAAAATTAGATTTCATTATTTACTTGCCTTAATATTAGTCAAAATCCATAGCATCCTTTGTTCATTGAGTTATTTTTCATGTTAGGTTCATAGTGCTTTATATTTTGGCAACCAGACTGTTTCAGTGACAGTTCAAAATATCCCATTATATAAAATATTAATCTTCAGAGAAAAAACTAGTCATACATGTTTGGATTTATTGTGTGGACTTCTCTTTATCCACAGCTGAATGACTCATCTGTAGTAGATTGATTACAGTCACGGCTGACGTTTCGGTTATGTTTCATATTTTAAGGTAAATGTGTTGAAATGATTCCCTAAATATTTTTTATTTATTATTATTTATAAGAATTTCTTTTTCTTTTGTACATCAAAGTCAAGAGAAACGGGAAGCCGAAGCCGCAATCGAGGTGTCTGGCTGAGATCTGACTGCATACATTCTCGATTTCACACGAGCGCAACTGCATTTACATGTCATGAGTACACGTCATCCTATAATGGTGATGAATTGAGGGTAGAGGTAATCAGCTTTGATGGGAAAGCTAAAACCCACTTGTGATTATGAAATGCCCCTTTCTGAGATCATTCACTATTCTTACCAGTGTTTTTTGTCCTTTTTGTCTGTATTTATATATATATATATATATATATATATATATATATATATATATATATATATATATATTTATACAGTAAAACATTAAACATCATACAATTCTGAGTCCAATGAATGTCTCCAGGTATTTGCTGGTCATTTTAAACAATCAATGTCAAGTTTATTCCAGTATAATATGTAGTTCTGAGTCACATTTGCTAAATTGACTGCTGCTATTCTCAGCAATTACAGTGGACTAAACATAAATAGTGTCGTATTGTTGAAGCTCTTGCTTTCAGTTTATATTTTACAGTAGTTACAGTTTTGCATAAGTTAAATTCAGCATTTCTATTTCTATTCTAAAGTCCTATATTGCATGGCTGATTTCTGCTAGTTTCTGTTAAGCAAGTTTCTGTGGTCATTGCTATCTGGGAGCCAATTCAGCTAAAATAACACTTCCCAACAAATCGACTCATTAAACAGATCATGGCTTTTTAACAGTAGTAAGTTGTGAAAAGTCTGATAAGTGTGTTGATATTGTTATTTTTAGTCAAAGGAGTCTTGTGATATCCTGTCATAAAGACAATACTCATGATTCCATACTCCATTAGTAACTAGCCATCGTGCATCATTATGAAACAGGACAGTTCAAAATTCAGCCACAATAGTTCTGGTGAAAGGTTCACTTGACTGTATCTTCAGTTTCATGAGCTTCATTAATAAGCGTAATAATCAAATTATAATTTGTTAAATAGACCTAAGCATTCCTTTAGCTGTTCAACCTTAAAGCGAGATCAAAAGCAGCTGAGCACTGTGTGTGTATCCATAAAATACACTTTTTTAAAGATGTGGCATGGCGCAATGATGTTTGTTGCAGTGCTTCTTTTCCAGTGTTTGTTATTTAGTCTCAGTCAAGCAGTGTGAATCATTGTGGATAAATGCAAATCTATAAAGCTGTTCTAAAATGCAGTGACCAAACATTCATCAGAAGTGATGTTAAAAAACAGCATTTCAAGAGTTCACACTTAGCTGATGATTGATTATAAAGCGTGTTTGGCATGCTTTCCCGGGAGAGAGCCCTGAGCTTAAGAGTTTGAGCTTGGGTAA